ACAACCCAGGGTATGGAAAATACAATCATTTCCCAGCAATGACACAGAAAAAAAATTAATGACTATATCAAGGAGTGGAGGTTGCCAGATAATAAAAATCCCTGTTTTAAAGCACTCAAGATTTCTACAGTGAGTGGCAACAGTAATGGACTGTCCATCAATGGGCATATCGATGGAGTTCCTTGGAGTATGATCATTGTCAGAGGAGCTAATGTTACTATCATCCGGAAGGATTTAGCTCAACAGTTTAAAGATAAACTCATTTGGATGACATCCTCTGTTACCCTCCAGAATGCGTCTGGTGATGAAATCAACATAGATGGGAAGTTAAATGTGAGCATTGCATTTGGAGGTGCTGCCTACCATCACACGGCATACGTGGAAGAGATTACAGATCCTGCATACTCGGATTGGACTTTTTAAGGAAATATTCCTTGGACTTAAAAACAACGAACTGCATTCAGCAGCAGATGACATAAATATCCATCATCAGAAGGGATCCTCACCAGGAAACGCCGATGCCTTTTGTGAAAGACCCTGCACAAAAAGCTGCCAAAATCATATTTGGGTAGAAGAGAAACACTAGACTACTGGATATTCTCCATCTCAGATGCTCTTCGGTCATGAGCTTTGTCTGTCTTGCGATCTTCTACTCGGCTGCGCTCTAGATGCACCTTCATCGCCTGAAGAATACATCCATGGTGTTCAGGCCTGGTTTGAAGTGATGCAAGAGCGATGTAAAAGGTGAAGACCCGATACGACACAAGAACTGTTGGACATCGATTTGACGAAGAAGACATGGTGTGGTTGTGGAATTCGACTCGACGGAAAGGACTGTGTCCGAAAAAGCAGTCACGTTGGGATGGTCCTTATATAGTCCTAAACAGGGTGAATGATGTCGTGGTTTGGATCCATAACTCATCTAACTCTAAACCTAAAATCGTTCATTATGACAGGTTAGCTCATTACTATAGCCCTAGGATGTAGTGTGAATAATTGCAAATAGTGTAAGAGCATGGTCCTTCATAATGTGTATTTGATTTGACTTGTATTTAGTATTTGATTTGTATGCTATTGTAATGTAATGTTTATTATTGCATTGATGCCTTAGTTGTAAGTTTGGCTTCCTGTCCAGAGATTGTACTGTCCGGGATGTGCAGTCCTTGGGAAGGGGGCAGTGTTACAGTTTTTGTAATGATTTAGCTATTTTTTAAATAGAATTAATGAAAATTGTTTTATATTACCATGCAATGCAGCATGAGGCATATTTTAAGAGAAAGCTACACCAGAAAAATAAAAAATACAGGAGCATTTAATAAATGAATATCTTGTAATTGTACTCTTTTAACATCCAGAAAAATAAAGAAAAAACAGAACATTCTCGTGCGCATTTAAAAAGCTTATAAAAAGCGAGATCAAAACATCTCAATTCAGTTTGTTTAGAAAACTGTTGTTTACTTATTGCTGTTAATGACTGTAGTGAATTCAAGGTGAAACTGTATTAGCATTCTCTGTTTTGAATTAAGTTCTGTTGAACGTTTTAGTAGTTTAAAAAAAAGAATAACTACTGTGAGATATTGCAATATTGCATAAATATCTGGGAAATTTAAGTATTTTATTTGTTGTGATAATAATGAATTTTTATTCACTTTTCATCAGACTTCTGCACTCAATTTATTACAAACCCGTATGCACGCAACAATACATATACCTTTTTCTCGCAGTTTTCGAAAATTTGGGTTTTTTAGCGAAATACAATGCTAGTCAGACAGCTAGTTGACAGATGAGAAAAATAATGATGTGCACAGAAATTGCTAGTTTTCCCTTACGGTGGTTTGGATATTAAGAGGACGCAGATATAAACAAAAGAAATGCATACAGAAGTCCCCTCACTAAATGAAGCATTCCCAGAATTATGCATTGTGAGGTATATGGATTGAAATATATTAATAAGAGATTAGATATTCATTAATTATATGCTATTTATTTTTTTAAATTAGATTTGGGCTTTCTTTACACAGTATTAAGTTTCTTTTTTTGGAAAAACTAAATATATATGTTTCAAGTTTTGGAAAGGAGAGGAGAGGAATAGAGTGTTCCGTCGCCACTTCATGCATCATGTTTTGCGGTTTCTGTGCTTCGCGGCTTTTCCAAAATATTCATCAAAAAATAAAAATATATAACCATGTCGGCAGCCGCATTGCGGAAAGGGAGCGTCGTTTCATGTTGATGCGCGAGAGATAAGGATCCCTGCATGTCAAACAAAGAGATGAGTTGACTCGCACTACATAACATGGGCTCTCATAAAGGCGCGCGATTGGTTTCCAGTGATCGACCAATGAGAGTACAAGTAGATTTATCCCTGCGAGTTGATTGTCTGCGCATCATCGCAGCCTCACCTAGCATATTCTCTTGTTGTATATTGCCAGTCTTGTCCATGATGTTGACTATCTCATATACTGTATTTTAGTGTTGTGTTGGCAATAACTTTTTTGTTTAAGCGATAACTTTTTTTATTAATTAAGCCCTTATAATGCCGCCTAAGCGCTATGCTCCTGCGAAAGCTTCCTCCGGAGCACCCCAAGAGGAAGAAGATGATGACCATCAGCGAAAAAGTGAAACTTTTAGATATGATCAATGCATGCCATTACGGGGTGAATGAATCTACAGTGCAGTACATCAAGAAAGAGGAAGCAAACATCTGCAAAACTGCTTCACTAACTTTCAATAAAGAAGAGAAACGTGTGGTAACTCTGCATGATAACAGAAGTGCGAAAATGGAAGCTGCACTGGCATTGTGGATTGCAGGAAAGACAGTGAGTTTGGACACTGATATGATCAGAACAAAGGCCAAAGCTCTCTCTCAGGAGCAATTCGCCTCCTCAAGGAAGAGGCTTTTCAGCCAGCAAAGGCTGGTTTGAAAAATTTCCAAAAAAGATACGGCCTCAGAAACATGTTTTTATATGGTATGAGGCTTCCTCTGCTGACAACGATGCTGCTTGTCGTTACATGGAGGAAGAGTTTCCTAGCCTCATCAGTAAGGGAGACTACCTCCCTGAACAAGTTTTCAACATGGATGACACATGCCTTTTTTGGAAGAGGATGCCTTAACATACATTCCTCTTCAAAAATGAAGTGAAGAAGCCAGGCTTCAAGGCTCACAAAGACAGTGTAACTGTCATCATGGCTGGCAATGCTGCAGGTTTTATGCATAAGCCAGGCTTTATTTATAAAGCCAAAAATTCACGGGCATTAAAAAACAAAAATACAGCTCTGTTGCCCATGTTCTGGATGCATAACTCCAAGGCCTGAATAACAAAAGTTCTGACCCTTGAATGGTTCCTCCATTGCTTCATTCCCCAGGTGAAGCTGTATCTGGCGTAAAAGGGCCTTCCTTTTAAGGTCCTTCTCCTAATAGACTGTGAAGGAGGCCATGCAATGGACCTGCAATATGACGGTGTGCAGATAGAGTTCCTGCCCTCGAACACTATATCTCTAATTCAGCTCAAGGATCAAGGTGTCATTCATGCCTTTTAGGCATTCTACACTCGCTCCACGATGGAGGGCCTCATCTCTGCAGTTGACGATGCCAATGACGAATTTACCTTGAAAGCATACTGGCACAGTTACGACATTGCCTCATGTTTATCTAATATTCAGTGAGCATTAAAGAACCTGAAGAGCGAGACCATAAATTCTAGCTGGAAGAAAATTATGGCCGAACGTGGTGCATGACTATCCAGTCTTTACTCCTGAAGAAGTTTATCACTCAGCAGTGAGGCTGGCTCATATCAAAAGCAATGAAGGATTTGTAAACATGACAAAAGAAGACATCAGCGCCCTTATCGATTGCCACTCAGACGCACTTACCGATGAAGACCTCCTTGAGATGACAAAGTCTGCAAGTGAGGAAGAAGAAGATGAAGAAGAAATTAAAAAGCGTAACCTTAACCCTGGAGAATCTGCAACTGTGTAACATGGCAAGAGTGATGCAACAATTTGCACAAGACATTGATGACAATATGGTTCGAGCTGTTGAGTTCAGCAATTAGAGTTGATGGGGTTATGTTCTTGCACAGGGGAATTTTGAAGGAAAAAAAAAAAAAAAAATTAACAATTACCCACCACCATGTTTTCCTCTAAGGAAAAGCCCCTGGCTCTACCATCAGCGACTCCAGCAGAAGAGTCTCTGAGTGAGTCTAAAGCTTCTATGAGATTCTTCTATTCTTCAAATGAGAGCCTCTCCCCCGACACTAACACAAGACTCTTCGCCTCTCTCAGAAAGCAATGTTGATTAATGTTTATTACTGTATAAGGTTTTGTAATTAATCTTATTAATTAGCATTGACACATTTACTGTTGTAATTTTTGTCTTAAATGTGTAAAGTATAAATATTGTTTATATATTTAAAATACTCCTAGGGACAAATCCTACTTCGCGGTTTTGCAGCTTTCAAGGAAGGTTCTGGTGCCCATTAACTGCGAAAAACGAGGGGATCACTGTATCATCTATGTGAAAGAAAAAATTCTATGTGAAAGTCTTCTCATTTTTAATGAAACAGAAATTGCATCTAACACAGATAGCAGCACAAAGTGAAATGTGAATGATATCTTTTTTTATCGCATGTATACTCTATCCAACCATAAATTCACCTTGAAAACGTAAATGGTGCACACTATCCAACAGATATTCTAGAATGTGCTCTTAGGGAAAAAAGGTTGGGAACCCCTGGTCTGTATCATCTAATTGAGAGATTACATGAAGAAATTTGTTTGATACACACAGTGTATACCAATATTTCTAATTTAGTTATGCAACAGAAAGCAAATACTTGTATTTTTGTTTTACTACTTTTCTTCAAAATTTCTTCATGATGGAGCTGAATGGCACACATGATACACTTCCTAATTAGCTGAATATAATCTTTCCAATGTAAATAAAATTTATCACTTAAAAAATATTATTATATTCACTTTTAGAAAAAATGGAAAAATCTTACCTCAATGCTAAATGCTTTAGAGATGTGGATGATAAAAGTTCATCAAGAGTTGTTGGCAGTCCAAGATATTTACAAATACTTTCAAATTCAGTATCATTAACTTCTTGAAGAGCAGATGTAGAAGGGGTATCAGTTAGTACATGGAAGAAAATGGCTGCACACCTGAGGAAAGGAAGTGAGCCCGTTTTCAGGCAGTGAACAATGGTGTGTCCGGACGGTGCAGGCAACCGCTGATCAAACCCGGCGGCGGTACAGACTTCCTCATAGAAAAGGAGAGCAGTCACATTTTCACCATGAAGTTTAGAAGTTTCACTAACTTCTGACATCTCATCCGTATCCATATTTTCCTCTTCTTGAAATGGATATGTAAGAAGCACTTGCACGAAATGGAAGGTAAGTAATAAATGTAATATGTGTTTATCCAAAGCAGTTCCCAAAGGATGAAGAACACGTGTCTTATCAGGCTCGGAACTTTCAAAAAGAACAGGCATTGACAAGACAAGGAAAGCCAATAAAGAGAAAGCATCAAAGTCCAGACAACATTGGGGACTAGAAAGATAATGCTCTCCTTGGACTAAGTAGCGCAGAATTCGAATGCAGTTTGTTCTTATAATGTCTTGATCAAATATTTTTAAGCTTGCTCCACAAAATCGGATAATTGCATCAAGACAGAGAGCATTCCTTGAAGAATGTGCACCAAACAAGGCTTTCTTTTTATCACGTAATAACCATTCCATTGCATGTATTGTGTATGTGCATGACCACCAAGCCATAGAAGGAATTCTTACATCAGAAACATTAACATTGATGTTGAGGCCAACCTAGAGAGGGAGGAAATGCATCTTATTAACTTACACACATAAAATTTCATTACAAATGCTAAAGAATTTATTTTTCATTTTTAGAGCATATAATGCAATAATTTGTACAAGCCAAGTATTTATTAAAATAGGAAGCTAGCATATTTTTTAAGAATTGAGAAAATGAGTTTTAGAAGCTTTTTCATATTCTAATAACATTTTTAGCAACTCCTCATTTACCAATATTATAGTATTATTGCTCTATAAAGATTGAACAATAATGAAAGCTTCTTTGTTTAATTCTTTAAAATTTATGATACCCTTCAGGATGTTACTTCTTCAGCATTAATCCTCCAAGTCCCTGAGCCATACTTCACACCGTGCTTTTCTATTATGTTCAATAAAAACATAACTTTCCTGACACTTGGACCGAAATTTTTGTTTCTCATCTTCAAAACACCACTTCTTTAGCTCTGCTATTTTAGGCAGTAAGTACTGAATGGAAGCAGTAAAAATTAAAGCATGCACATCATGGATTACAATGGTCAAAGATTAAGGTGGCCGTTATATGAGAGATGAAGATTGTACGGTGCTACCATCTCTGAGAATGAAAACAGCCATCTGATGGGCACCGTTGCCAATGTCAGTGGTTTCCCACTAAATTGTTTTTGTACAAGCTGCAGCACAGTGAAGAAAATAATGTTTAGTACTGGTCGCTCTGCCCTGAACTGCTGTTACAAATACTGTTGATGGCATTTCCTTGCAGTTTATTGAACACTGCCAGCTAATTTGAATCCTAATGATTGCTTTATATGGCCTGTTCTGCACAAATATAATTTATCCTGTTTATTGTTATTTAAAGAAGTAAAAAGGGTATACACTTTTCCCAAGTGTTTAATTAACAGTTTTTATCTAGTAAGAAGTGCAAGTGCTGACAAAAATGAATAAGAGGGCCACACGTGGATCGCAGTTTAGACCACATGGTCCTACCGTACATTTTCCCTAAAGACACAATATCATAGATAATTAAAAGAGTTTTAAAATGTCAAAGAGCTCAAATTCTCTGCTTACAAACCCATCTGAAATAATTTCAAGGCCAAATTCATGATTCTGTTGTGTGTCACTTGCTGCCAGGCATTTTTTAATGAGAGTTAAGCAACAGAAATCAGTGGTAATTATATTGCCCATGTTACTTATGGTACCACAGGTCAAATATATATAAGGAAATCCTATATTGCCAGATTCAACGTTCTTAACACTATTGTCCATCATCCAAGGCATTTTTGGGTCAGATAATTTTTTATGAATCACACTGTTCAGGAAGTAAGCCATTCTTGATCCAAGATTCCAGTTCATGTGCATATAAATACTTTACATAAATTATCTGAACACATTTTTTTAAATCAGCAACAAAATTAAATATTAGATATATTTATTACACTATTATAACTATATAACTATGACTTATATACAGATATAGAAAAATATTAAACTTAAATACAATAGAGACATATAATTTTTCCAGGAAACAGGGTATTCATTCTGATAGCAGATAATGTTTAAATTCACTAACACCAAATTTTTTAAAAACGATACCAGTTTTCAGAGGCATCACACAACATACCCACAAAAAATGAACATTCAGATTATTACAGAAATAGTGCTTTGAAAGACATTTATACCATGGAGAACAAAATTTCAAATCTGTTGTTTTAGAAAACATTATAATTATATATTTTACAATACAGCAGTTCATTACATTTTCAAGATGAAATGACACTTCTTAGTTTTACCAGAATAAAAATACTAACAGTGTATGTAGCTTCTGAAAAGAGTTTCATCATATCAATCAAATTCTGGGAGAAAAGAGGACCAGATTCTGCTGGATGCTTTACTCCAAAAACTGAGAATAACTCTTTGAAACTGGCACAACTTGGGCCACTTAACTGTCTAGTTGCATTTTCTAGAGACATTGCTTTATACAGGAACGGGAAGTTTTTAAACCTATCATCTAGAAAAAAAGAAATAAATATATTTTATCATACACAAAAATTTTATTTCATATTGCAGTACAAAGTACGAGATCTGGAATCATTGAGAGTTAAGTTATTCAGGATTTTTAATCATGAGTTTAAATACAGGAAGTTGACAAGCAAACACGGCAACAATAGGGCTTCACTTTTGGTTTAGATCCCCTCCACAAGCACTCAATGGCTGAGAGTGTGATTCTGGCCAATAATGAATATAATGTCAATCAAAAAATTGCCTTTGGCTACCATGTAACATCCTAGCCAGAAGATGTTTGAAAGCAACATGCAGGAATCTCAGAAGAAATATCATCATATACAGTAAACTTGTTTCCTTTAGTTGAGTATCATATTTTCCATTCCTAGATTTGAGCAAAATTTTTTATTATTTTATTTATTTTCGGTTGGTGATCTAGAGGTTCAGATATTGGACAAACAGATCTTGAATTTTGTAATGTACTTATAAAAAAATCACTGTTTTAACTATGATGCTGACAAATATCTTGTTCATTAAGGAAATACAACTGGGCAGACAAACAAATATTCTACATTTCTAAATATAAGCTGACATGTATATAAGCAAAGGAAAAAAAAAAAAAAAAGCTCTTTCAAAAATTCAGCTAACGCTGAATAACGTGTAAGTCAGATTTAAAAGTGCCCAGGAAATCCACCTATAGCTACTCCCACACATGTTAATAATTAATTTTCTACCTTAACGAGATCTTTCAGACAATCATAATCATGCTATTAATTCAGATATACAGATCATAAAATATTCAAGTAATTCATTGTCTAATTTAGCTGAAGGTGAGCATTTATTTATTTTGTGTTTCTATTAAAAATAAGCATGAGAATACTGTGGAAAAAAAGGTATTTTTGTCCCCAATAATTCTTCACTTCTTGCAATTTTTGGGCATGTGCAATATTTTTCATCTTGGGGAGAGCAAGGTGAATTTTACTTCAGTTCTCTGCTGTGGTAATCATTCTCAAATGATCAATAATATTTTTTTTTTCTTAATTGCACTCTTGCTTTTATGAGTAAACTAGAATTCTTTATTTCTGCTATACAATAAAAAATGTCAAGGTAATTTGGAGAAGAAATGCGTTTTTTGCTAATTTTAAAACTAAAAGTAATCACTTTTGATGAACACTATTATGGAAGGAAATGATAATGACATTTACCAAGACTTACTTCAAGATGGGAGTAACTTGGAAGAATTGCAAAAAAATTCTATCGTTATCCAACTCGGAATTTTTTGTTTGAGGTCAAATTATTTCTAAATAATTTCAAATTTATATATAAGCTAATTCGCATATTTTGGTAGTAAAAAATTTGCTAAAACTTCTCAACTTACACAGTGAAATACACAATAATCTAACTTTGAAGAGTTTAATTAGACCCTGAAAATCTTTACAGCTGGTGAAATCTCAATTTATAAATGAGTAGTTTGATTGAAATTCTTTATCACCAATAAATACCATAAGATATTAATATATATATATTACACCCAGACTTCCATAGCTTTCATTACGGTAAATAAAATGCATTCTAATTGAATAAATTAATAGCAAAGTCTTAATTAAAATTAACTTATACCGATCTTTTTATTTAACCATTAAGCAAAATATTAATATTTAGAAATGAAATGGGTGGCTATTTTTGATTGAATTTTGTATAATAACAGAAAATTTACAATTATGAAATATTAGATATAACTATTAAAATTTAAACTAAGTTTTCATCACCCTGAAAATGCAAGCAATGGATGCAAGAACAATAAAAAAGAAAAATTGATTTAATATGTCAGCAAATTTTTGCATCTGCGAAGCAGTTATTTCTTTTTGACTATCAGAATGTTTTTAGTTCCAAAGTTTTTAGATTTTTATCATGATATGCTCTGCTACAAATAATACAAAGGGTTCTTTTTCATGTGATATAGAAAAGATAGCCATTAGACAAAATTTGTGGTCTTTAAATCATCTTTCATGCAATGTGGCAGATAGTAATATAGCTATTGAACGTGTTAAGGCAACAAAAATTTAATTTCCAAAAATCCTTAACACTTCCCTTAATCATTACTCGAAATGTTATTTTAATTCAAAATAGCTAATGTACTTAGTAGTTAAATAGTAATTCAATATTACTTAACATCTTTATCTTTTAAATTATAATTACTTAACAATAACAAAGGCACTTTTAATAATTTAAATCTTTTATTTTTTAACAATTTAGCTAAATGATGTAAATTTAAAATGCATCCAAAAGATAATTATGAACATCTGAAGCATTATTGTAAAACAAAAGACGTTAATTATGTTATACATTTCATACCTTCATATAAAAATAATTTAGCTTTATTTATTTACTGTTTTCAGGAGAATTTATTTTACCAAACATTTGCATAATCTTCAGGTCATAAAAATAATTTATAGATCAGTTAAGAAAGTATGGAAAACAAAATACTTTAAATAACATAGAAATATGAATAAATTAAATAATTCTTATGGCTGCATAAAAGCAATCAAGCCATTTAGGCAGTTAAAAGTTTAATATTTTCATTTTGCATAAACTTGAATTTTTGAATATGCCAAATATGAAATTGAGTTATGTCAATTGCTGCCAAAACAGATTCTTCTAAAAAATATTTGCACTATTTCTTTCTTTTTTTTTTCCCTTTCATTTCTGTCATTTCATAAAATTCAATAAAATCATATTTGACTACTTCATTAAATAATTGAAACTATTTTTTTTTTTTTGAATCAAAACCTTACATAGTCTGTATCTACAACCCAAGGAAAACATCTGATGTGTACACCATGACTTCCTTGTACAAAATATTAAATTACACACATTTTTTCCTGCATTTCATTTAAACTTATTGAATTTAATTAAATCTACTTTGTTGATAGCGCATAAACCATAATGGAATAAATGCACTCTTTAAAATTCACTATATTTATTTACCATAGCGACACTGATGCTAGGTTCACTTAACAGCATTATATATTATTCATTTTATAACTCAGAATGTACAAAAAATACATCATCTGAAGAATTATCTAATCGTTGCCACACGTTCTATTCAAATACTATAATAAATCTAAAATGATGTATAAAAAAAATTAAACAAATAAAAAAAAAAAAAAAAAAAGTTTTTCACAGACGATTCAGCGCCACTCATATAATGCACAAGCAATACTCCTAAACATTCTCCTCTGTCCGAGACAGACTGCCAACAATATTTGCTGCTAATACGAAACATTTTTTTTCCCTAGAATTTCATTAGACATACTTTTCTCATTCAATTAATTCAGTTCTCACTTCGTGGCAAGGCAAAAATACAGAAAAAATTTCTTCATTAAAAACTGAAAGGTTTAGAAAAAACTTTGACTGATAGTGCCAATAACGTCTCACAAGATATTGATTTTAAGATTCATCTACTTGTCAGTGCGGATATGGCTGATAAACTCTTAAGGCCTGTTCCCACTTGGGTTTATCTGAGCTAACGAATACAATTGACGTAGCCGACCCATCTCCAAAACCAGTTTTTTCCCCCATAGGGCAGCAAGTTGAAAAATCTGAACTACAGACACAGCGGAGCTAGTCGACACATGGAACTCACTCCGTTAGCTCAGATAAACAAATTGCTGCCAGTTTTGGCTGATGAACCCGTTGCTGTTGGACTCATTTAGGCTGAACACTCATGGGAAAGATTCTATAGGTATCCAAAGTATCCGAATCCTATTTGTCTATCATATTTCTACTCACCAATGACATTAACCTTCCAGACATGTGCAGTTTAGAGCACATAGGTATTATAGATACAGTTGAAAGCCAAATTACTGCGGAATTCCAACAAGCTGCACTTGAAAATTTTCAGCATACTCTGAAAGTTAATGATGAGGGAAGGTACGAAGTAACGCTACCTTGTCTCAAATTGCATCTCGCACTTCCTGAGGGCAAAGAATTAGCTGAAAGAAGATTGCACATTACAGTTAAAAGACTGAAAACAGCTAACAAATTAGAAGCCTATCAAGAGATCTTACAAATATGGTTAAAGGATGGAATAACTGAAGAGCTGAAAGAAGATGAGGTAAATGACTCCTGGCCATTTTTTACCTCATCGAGCAATACTTAAGAAATCAGCAACAATGGAAATTAAGCCTATGTTTGATGCCTCTGCAAGTCGGCATATCTCAATGAATGTTTAGTGAAAGGTCCGAATCTCATGGAACTCATTCCAGCGATATTAACTCATTTCCGCATAAAATAATTTGCTGTTACAGCAGACATAAAACAAGTCTTCTTACAAATTAAATCTTTAATTTCTCTGGATGGAAGATGCTGATCCAAATAAGTTGAAAATCTATTGACACTGTCCTGTTGTTTTTGGAATTATATCCAGTCCCTTTTTGTTGAGTGCCACGTTACAATACCATTTAGAAAATGCTCCTTCTCAGTTTAAAGATACAGCTTTGATCTTGCTAGACTCCTTCTATGTTGATAAGTGTCTTGCTACTTTTGACAGTGTTAAAGAGTCAGAACTATTCGTTGAGCAGTTGAAAGAATTGTTGAATTTGAGTTAAGAAGCTGGCGAGACAATTACTCCATGTTAGCGACTACTAGATGAATGTTGGGAAAAGAAAATAGCATGGGACAGAGAATTACCTGAAGCTATCATGAAAAAATTTTTAAACTGGCAAAATCAAATAACACATCTGAAAAACACATTTATACTGAGATGGATGAAGAAGAGAACTTCTCCGAAGAAACAGTGTAGTTTACATGTGTTTGCTGATGCCAGCAAGAACGCTTATGCAGCTTGTATTTTTATCCGAATAAAAACCGAACAGTCCATGTCTTGCGAATTCATTACAGCTAAAAATAGGATAACTTTACTAAAGACAATCACAACTGACAGACTGGAACCTCGTAGCATGTTTGACTGCTAACGTTAAGACAGACTTAAAAAGACCAACACAC